TAAACAGTTATGTGCTCAACTACTAACTGAATGATTGGCCGTTTAAATCCACCCTGAGGAACTTCAGAAGAAGGGCCTGATGATCTACTTCTGAAAGGTCAGAACCATTGAAAACCTTAGGGAGCAGCTTTACTCTGAAACACATAGGGTTCTCCTAAGTCGGAATCAAGTTCATGACAAAAAGTTTTGCATTGCTTACTAGTATTAAATAGTCTATTAGCAAGCTTCTACCATATTTTTATTCATATAAACAAAATTTTAAGCCAAATGCTGAGACGTTATCAATCAGTGAATCAATTAAAACGAAAAATTTCTAAATATTTAGAGACTCATCAGATTATTGTATTTTAAAGACAAACATTTGAAAGCCTACTATACATGTTGTTGTTGTGAAGTGCCATTGAGTCAGTTCTGACCCATAGCGACCCTGTATAGGGTTTCCAAGGAGCAGCTGGTGAGCTTGAACTGCCGACCATGCAGTTCAAACGGCTTTGCAGTCTGGCGCATTAAATTTCTTTGGCTCATGTTACATCCAACTAAGATTAAATTTAAGTCAACTTAGACTGAACAGTTTACATAAATTATGTAGTATACTCACAGCTACTTTGAAAAGAACGCATTTCCATCATTCCAGTGTTCCAAATTCCAACAGGGTAGATCCACAGAGTAACAGCAAATAAAGAATTCCAAGAATGGTAGGTGATATATTCAGTTCAAATAAGAGATGCAAATCCATTGGAACATAGCAAAAAAAAAAAAGGAAAAATAAACGTTACTTACATGTAACTCAATAAAGTAAAGGTAGGTTAACAGTAAACTGAGGAACAACATCCAAAACAAAATAACAACAAAGTAAAATGAAGGCAGAATTTGTCTTATACATGGCAAGAACAGTTTGTTTTAATTCATTTTTCAGCAGTTCTTCTGAAATAAAGAAATAAAGATTTTTTTTAAACTCCTTTTTTTTATGTCTTGAAAAAAGCCCCCGTAGTATAGTGTTTGAATAATAAAAACCTGTTGAAACCCACCAGCTCTTCCATGTCAGAAAGATGAAACTGTCTGCTCATGTGAAGATTTACAGTCTCAGAAACTATATAAAGGGCACTATGAGTCAGACAGACTCATGGCACACAACCACCACTGCCACCCACCACTACCACAATGCCGTGCACAAGATATTTTGCAGGAAATGGTAGAGAAACTGTAAACGTCACACAAATTTACTTTGTTAGTCACTGGATTAAAAAAGCAAATGTAAGAACAAACAAATGCAAAGGTTTTAGCTAAAATCTCCATATAATGCTGTATTTCAAGTCCTACTAATTAAACTTGAAGTTCAAAATTCAAAGAAACGCATACTTAGGAAGAAGAAAAAGGAACCGAAGCAAAGACATCAAGCAATACGTAGATGTGGTAGATGTGCACTATGAAACCTGAAAAGACAAATAAGGACACACAGAGAAGAAAATATCCTTGGACAAAGTGTCGGAAAAGTATGTCTTTATTCTAGATTAACATATTAATTCTTTATCGATACAAACCTACAAGTTGCATCACAACCTACTTCAAATCATTTGAGACAGCTAAGGCATGGTGCTGTAGGATTAGCGCAAGAGCAAGAATTCAAGGTCGGCATCAAGGGAGAAAGGCACAAGCAAAACGTGGGACACTCTCCAGAGATGCAGTAATACCAGAGATGAGGACATGGAGAGAAAGAGCAGCTGAGGACTCTAGACTCAAGGAAAGAGAGGGACTGAGTGCTGGCGGCCTGGAGGCAGGCTTGTAAAATATGCCCTTTGGTTGTTTAATTGATTATATATTCCTGGGTGTTTTTGTATATATCCCACCACCCCCCCAAAAAAAATACTCCAGAGGAATAGAAGAAAATACTTTTGAATGATGATGCACGGAGGATATTGTAATCATTGCAATGAAATGATAAGTGTACATGTTCTTCCATGTAAACTATCAACAATAAAAACTTAAAGAAATTAGTGAAACACAAAAAGAAAAAGAAAAAAACTAATGCAAGGTTGGTTTGAACCACAAGGCAGTTCAAACTCACCATTCACTCCTCGGAAACCCTATACAGGGTCTCTGTGAGTCGGAACCAACTTGAGGGCACGTGACAACAACAACAAAGGTATTACTATAGTTTTCAGTTAAAAGTAATTAGGGTATATAACAAATGAAAAACCAGTTTTAAAATCAATTAATTTTTTTTATGACTTTAAATTTTTTCCATGACAATAACCTCAGAAATAACTCAGAAATAAAATCCAAAGTCATTACAATGGCCTTCAGTGGTTTTCAACCTAAGTTGTACCTCCAAATCACCAGGAAACACCCCAGACCAATTAAGTCAAACTCCCGGAGTGGGGCCTTATCCATCAATAATTACAAAGCATCTTAGGTAATTCCAATATAAAGCTAAAAATCACTGACCTACAAGATCCTGCTACATCCTGACTTCCCTGTCACTTCCGACCTCATTTTCTACTACTCTTCCCCTGGTTCACTTCTCTTCCAGCAGTGCTAACTCCGTAGTTCACACATACCAGGCTTGTTTTCATCTCACAACTTGACACAGCTTTCTAGGATACAAATCATTTCTATGAAACAAATATCAGAAGTTTATCTAAAACTACAATCTTACCTCTCAGCTCAGCAGCACTTTGCTGTTTTCTTCTTAGAATCATATATTTTGTTTACACACCATATATTATATACTTCACTATTCTTGTTTCCTTTGATGTTCCTTCCCACCTCATCTATAACTAGAATGTAAACTCCTTCTAGGTAAGAATTAAGTTAATTACATAAACTATAACATCATAAAAGAGAAAGTCATCTGTTGTTGTGAAATACTATCAAGTAAGTTTTGACTCATAGGGACCCTGTATGGGTTTCAGAGGAGCAACTGGTGGGTGGGTTTGAACTGCCGATCCTGTGGTTCACAGCCCAGTGCTGATCCTTACGGCACCTCACCAAGTCAGAAAATCATCTAAGTGAGTTGAAAAATGTTCAGAGAAAATGGTATTTGAGTTTTATCTGTAAGGAGCCCATCAGACAAGAGGTGTAACAAAACACTTTACAGAGTCTGTGCATGTGTCTTACTACTTTATCCTGAGATTGTAAAACTGTATCTGGAATACATGAATTTAGGAATGAATTAATAAAAGGGGTGAATCACTGCAAGCAAAGGAGTACACCTTTAGGTGGGGATTGACTTGGCACTTTTCAGGAAAGAAAAGGACGTAAGTGAACTACAATAAAATTAAGGAGGGGACAAGAGTGTGAGATGTAGGAAACCAGGTCAGGGAGACAGACAGACGGGTTAGATCATGGAGGACTCAGACAAAGTAAGAAATTTGGATGCTATTTTAGGCATGAGGGGAAGCCACCGGTGTTTTTTATGGTAGAGCTTACACCGTAGAGTGACCTGACCTGATTTGCATTTTAAAGATAACTCTTACAGCTAAGTGAAGAAGAAAATGGACTTAAAAAAAAACTAATGAAGCAACAGTCCTGGAAAGAATATTGAACCAAGATGGTATGGAAACAATAAGAGAGAGGAATTCATAATAAATGTTGCAAAATAGAGTTGACAAGACATTGCTAACAGACTGAATGTGAATGTGATGGGTGAAAGAAAACAGGAACCAAAGATAGCTCCTGTGTTTTGAGCTTAAGCAACTTTTTGGTTGGTGTTGTTAAGCCAGTTCTGACTCATTGTTGTTGGTGTTAGGTGTCATCAAGTCGGTAAGGACTCACAGCGACCTTATGCACAGCAGAATCAAACACTGCCTGATGCTGGGCCACGCTTGAGCCCACTGATGCTGCCACTTTGCCAATCCATCTTGCTGGGGTCTTCCTCTTTTTCTCTGACCCTCCACCCTACCAAACATGATATCCTTCTCCAGTGACTGGTCCCTCCTGACAACATGTCCAAAATATGAGAGACGAAGTTTGGCCATCCTGGCCTCCATGGAGCACTTTGGCTGCACTTCTTCCAACATAGATCTGTTGGTTCTTTTGGATGGCCCATGGCACTTTCAATATTCTCCTCCAACACCATAACTCAAAAGCATCAATTCTTCTATGGTTTTCCTTATTCATTGTCCAGCTTTCACATGCATATGAGGTTATTGAAAATACCATGGCTTGGGTCAGGTGCTCGTTGGTCCTCAAGCTGACATCTTTGCTTTTCAACACTTTAAAAAGATCTCGTGCAGCAAATTTGCCTAATGCAATACGTCATTTGATTTCTTGACTGCTGCTTCCATGAGTGTTGATAGTTGATATGAGAAGAATGAAGTCTTTGACAACTTCAATCTTTTCTCTGCTGATAAGAATGTTGTTTACTGGTCCAGTGTTGAGGATTTTTGTTTTCTTTACATTGAGATGCAATCCATACCGAAGGCTGTGCTCTTTGATTTTCATCAGTACATATTTTAAGTCCTCTTCACTTAACAGTAAGCAAGGTTGTATCATCTGCATATCGCAGTTTGTTAATGAGTCTTCCTCCAATCCTGATGACAAGTTTTTCTTCATATAACCCAGCTTCTCGGATTATTTGCTCCTCATACAAGTTGAGTAAGTATGGTGAAAGAATACAACACTGAAAAGATTGGACAGCAAAGAAATGAAATCACCAAAATCAAAATGGCTTCTAATATTTAAATTTGAACAAGAATTTCTCAGTACAGTCCAAAAATTCCAAGGTTGGTTAGTGCTAAAGATACAAAATTAGGAACATACAACATATAGATAGTATTGAGAGGGGATTGGATTCCCAGAAAAAGACCACAGACTAACAAAGAAAGTCAAGACAGAGCCCTAGAGTTGAGAAGAAACAGAACTAGTACACACTCCTAAGAAAGATCATCCAGTAAAATGGGAGGAAACTTAGGGCTGACTTAAGGACAGAGCAGTTATTCAACAGTACTGAACGCTATCGAGAGATCAAATGAAATAACAGAGCCATGACCACTAAATTTGGAAACAGGAAAGTTGCTGCCAACTTTTGACAAGAAAAAAATCCAGTAACCAAGAGAGGTAAAGTCCTGGTATGGCACTGCAGGATAAGCACTGGACTACAAACAAGGTTGGCTTGAACCACAAGGTTGGCAGTTCAAACTCAACAACTGCTCCTCAGAAACTCTATATAAGTGCCATCGAGTCGCTGTGAGTCTGAACCAACTTGACAGCACTTAATAACAACAGTGAGGAAGAGTCTGGTGTGGTGTGACAGGGTACGCACTGGACTGCGGACGGCAAGTTAGCAGTTCAAACCCACCAACTGCTCTCGGAAACCCTATACAAGGTTGCTATAAGCCTGAACCGACTTCAGGGTACACAACAAACAAGAGTAACCAAGTTAAAAATAGACAATTCTTTGTATTACCAACATTTAAAATGTGGTATATTTGCCAACTCCCCACCCCTATGACTAATGGTCCAGAGGAAAAGTATCTACATTCCCAGTAAAGTGCTGATACACAGTTAGTATTGCTATTGTCAGGTGCTTTCAAGTCAGTTTCGACAAAAGCGACTATGTATAGGGTTTGCTGTTGCGTGTTTCGAGTTGATTTCAACTCATA